TTAGCAATTTGAAATAGATTTTTACTCTTAAGGTGCACAACATTCCAAGTCCTTGGAACTAAATTTCCATTGGGATGAATGGGCTTAAAAGCTCCATTTCCCAAATCTTCTTTGAAAAGGTACAAACTTTCCCAAGTTGGGTGCAACTTTTCTTCTCCAAAATTCTTTTCTAAAACCTCTATCTTTCACAATATCCAATCTCCTTAGTGTAGGTCTTCGGGTTTTACCTTGCAATTGTAGTATCTTTCTTCCCTCCTATGATAATTTGCCATATTGGTGTAGGTCTTTGGATTTTACCTTGCAATTGTAGTATCTTTCTACTTTCTTGTGATAATTTGCCATACACACTTGTGACAAATCTTTGATTTCTTCTAGTAGGTTCAAATTTGCTCTCATAGCTTCTTCATTTGTGCATTCATCATAATGGCTTGTCTTATGAGTGAGGATTCTAGTTTCCACAAATTTCACAACATATGGAGTTTCGCCTATAGGTGTGCAATGAGTAGTTTTGTAAGCCCACAAGGTGTAGGGTAATTCCTCCATCCACACACATTTGTTTTTCCTCCCTTTTTTTTTTCAAACCTTCCAATATAGCTTTGCTTATAGCTTTTGCTTGTCCACTAGACTAGGATCTTTTACTTAGGCAAACCTCTACTTGATTTGTTCAAGTGCTTTACCTTCATCTTTAAGCTATGCTCTTCTTTTTGATTGAGGTATTCGCAAAGATGCTTTTGATACAACTTTATTCTTTGCTCATTGCTGCCATGAATTTAGCTAAAACTTGTGCCTTTATAGCTTTGTTAGACTAGAATTCTTTTTCAAGCTTTGTGAATTTGATTTTTTTTTTTTAATCTTTATACTACATTTGGTTTCTTCAAAATATGTCTCAAAGGATAATTAGTTAAAACTGGAACTTTATGTCTAGGAAAATGATTCCTAAATATGCTAGCTTTTCCAAAGGAGAGTATTTGTTTTGCAAGTTTATGCTTTTTTTTCTTCTTCTTTGATGAAAGTTGTGCTTATCGCTTTGATAGCCATGGCTATGTGTATGAGGAGGCATTCTTCCAAGAACAAGCTTGATGGAGCTTTGTTGAGTCGTTTCTTGGTGATGCATGTAGTCGACATTGTTCCACAAGATTTATATTCTTGTGTTGGCTCACAACATCCTATGCTTGTTTTGGAAGCCATTAGGTCCAGCACAATGAAGGTTTAGTTTACCTATGTGCTGTGTGCCATTAGCATTCCTGCACTAGATTTTGCTTTAAACTTGTGGTTGTCTCATAGCTCTTGTTAAATCTTTGTGTCCTTCAATTATATTCTTGTGCTCAGAGCTTTTTGGTCTAGGTGGCCTCCTCTCAAAAGTTTCTCAAGAAAAATGTTAGTTTTCCTAGAAATGCAGAAAGTTGCATACCTATTAAGATTGAAAATTAGAAAAAGTATGTAGAAAAATAAATATACTTAGCTGGAATCATAGCTTTTCTAAAAGTTGCAAAAAACTATTTGCATAAGAGAGCATCAAAGCCTCATAGACCATTATTGTCATCTTAAATCCTTGCACTTGTTCCATTAGATCCTATGTTCTATTATATTCTACCAACTGCAAAGCTTTGAAGTTTGGCGGCATAGGTTCTTTAATAATTTTTTTAGAAAAAGCTTTTTCCATCAAAGTTGTGTATGTTGCCTCTAGATACCTCTGTTGATTCACCCCTACCTTTTCCACGTACTAACATAACGCATCTATTTCTTTTCCCTCATCAAATCCTATGTTTCCTAGAAAAGCTATTGAGCCTTCCTAGTTGAAGGTAGTGAAATCCTTCATGACTCCTCTTATCTCTGACATAGTTGTCCTGAATCTTGTGTCAAAATATTCATAGCATCTGACAAGGATGTCACAACTTGCTCAATTGTTCTCAAACTATGTCTTGTATCCACCATATCTTGCTCAAGCCACCTAACTTGTGACACTAACAATGGATCACTTAGTATAGCTCTGTTAAGTGCACTTCAAGAATTTTTTCAATATTCATTCGAGATGAAGAAGATCCATTTGTTTCTCCGTGAAACTACATGCATATTTATATAGAAATTACTAAGACTCCTAATAAAACTCCTATTCTAATTAGATTATAACTTGAAATTTAAAATTTCTAATTCAACTAGGATTTAGACTCTTGATAAAAGACCTAATCCTAATAAACGTAGAAAACTAATAATAACCAGAAATAACACTTGAATAATAATAATTACATAAGAATATTAAATAATTTAAATAACTATTGAATAGCATCTTGTAGCACCTCATCATTTATCTTTTGACCTTGGAGCATCCTTGAGCTGCAATGGTGAACTTTTGTTGCCAAAATTTGCCATGTGGTACTCATGAATCAAAAAAATCTCAGTTCCATGGTAGGCATCAAATGTTAACACTAAAAAGTAGAAGAGATTGTGTAAAACCAAACACTTTATTGATCTAGAATGGAGAGAGGTTACAATAGAGAGAGAATGATGAAAAATAATTGGGCTATTTATAAGAAATTATGTAGAATCATTCCAGAATTATAATTCTAGTTGGGTTGGTATTGGGTATTCTAATTCTAATATGATTTAGCCTATCTAATCTTAATAGAACTCTTCTAAAATACCTCAATGTAACCTAATTCTCATAGGACTCAATTTAGTGTATTAGAAGTATATATAGATGCATGGTTGCTATGTAACTGAAAGTGCCAGAAAAAGGGAATTCTCTGCTCTAAGAAAAAGCTACGTTTACTTCATACAATAATCTGATTTGCATTTCCATTTAGTTTTTCCTCTCCATTACAGTATTTATTTATATTATTATATTCTTTAATTTTTAAAATCTTCTCTCTTGAAAATTGAATTTGATTTTGATTTCTTAATTTAGTTTATAGTGTAAATCGTTTTTGAATTGTGAAAACTATTAAGCCCTAATTTCGAATGGAATCCATTTTTTTGGGGTAACAAAGAGAGAAATATAGATGATCAGATTAGGACAGACTGCCCATGTGATAATTTAGGTCATACAATCTAGTAACACTGCATTATTTTTATGTGCAGTGGCGGTTTTGCCTTTTCGATTTCTGATTTGCAATTTTGTGTTTTTATCTCACGGGTTGGAATTTTTTTGCTTTTGTTGTAAAATAAGAAAGAAACAAGTATGCTTTAGGCATATAATATCGCTCTTAATTTTGTGTTTATGGTTTGCATGCTTTAGGCATTTGAATCTTTAAGCTTATGATACTTCTAGCCTATTCTAATTTATTAGGCATATTAGGCATTATATGCTTAAGGTGCAAAAAATAGTTAGGAGAAAATTTGTTCAAAATTAAATGTTTAGGGATAAAATCCCCCAAAGGTCGTAGAGAATTGCAAATTCTAATTTGTTTCAATTCAAGGGGTAGAAATAGTATGGATAGAAATCCAGTATTTTGCAATGATGTAAAAAACTGCAGTCAAGTTTTGAATAAGAGTAACCGTCATTTAACTTCTTATTTCAAACTGTTTAGGGTTTTTAATTTTTTCTTTTCGGCCGAACTCTTGAGGCTTTATTTGGTTTTAAAAAGAGGAAACCATAATCAGCCAAATCTGAATAAATTAATTTTGTGATTATGGCCACAAAATTAAAATCAACCATACCAACCACGTTAAAAAATTGGAAAATAGTACATATTAATTTTTTAAAAATTAAAATTAAAATTTCAAAAATGCCAAATTTCAATAAATAATTTTAGAACTCAGCCCTAGATTTTATAATTTTCCATATTAGCTTATACATTCACTTTGGATGTCATAAATATAGGTAATGATATAGGTATAATTTTTTTATAATTTTTTCATAACTTTCATTTTTTTTACATTAAAAAATTATTTAATTAATATTGTAGACGTATAAACTCTTGATCTTAACCTTAAATTAAGATTTTTAAATTCATAAATTCTAATTTGGTCAAGTTTTGATTAATAACTTTCATATATTATTAAATAAGTTATCGTATATAATATTTTGAATTTTAATAAAATAATAAAACAAACCTTTAAATGATATGTAAAATTTTATTAAAAAACTATATAAAGAAAGTTGTCTTTCAATTATTTTTCTATAAATATTATGCATTTTTACTATAAAAAATATTGTACGTGAATCAACTTTGTTCAATATGATATCTCAAATTAATGTTAGATTAAGATATATTCAAACTAAAATGAAAATGACATCTCAAAAGTCTTTGCATTTAACGCAAAGACACGAGTTACTAAGCAAATTTAAATCTCTTGTAAACCAATTTGGGACAAGTTCAGTCTAAATAATTGTATATGACATGTTAGGGTGATCTACTTGTGCTAGTCTGGACAAACATTTCTCATATCTATTATATACATGCAATGATAATGAGAACTTATGAATGGTGCGCCAAATTGACAATCAACATAACCGATACAGAAAGACCATGGAAACTTGGGAAGCATTTAGAGCAAGGACTAATACAACGTTTGTCATACGAGAAGTGAGCAGATCATCAGAACCAAGTTTTCTCCAGGAGCAACAATTTTGCTAGTACAACTTTTCCCCATTTTGTCACAAAAATTTAGGTGCAGTCAGATGTTCAACATTTAAAAAAAGTTGTTCAGCTTTGACTACTTTTATTTCTTAGTGTGCCAAATATAACTACAGAATAATATGTAATGTGAGGGACTGATGTTATTAGAATCAAAACCCATCCTTCCAAAAGAGAAATCATCCGCTAAGTATGGCGCACCTAAGAAGGAATTGGATTTGTATAACCGCAGTCTCCTAGAAGAAAGGGACAAGCATGGTACCAGCATCATTTAGATAGTAAAAACCAAGGCTTCAATTACTGTACCACTTCAAGATATCGTTTATCAAAAGATTGCCTTCAGCAGACAGAATTTAGCATATCTATTTTGCAAATATGATTTCAAAGATATTTTCAACTGCAAGACAGAAAAATAACAAAGAACTCAAGAAAATTAATGATGTGCAAAAGTTACAAGCTCAGAGACTTCTAGGGAAAAAAAAAAAAAAAAAGGTTCATCTCAATGACATGATTGTCACGGCAGTGTTCAAATGTATATTTGATTTTTTTTTTCTAGCACATCTAATAATGGGCTATACAAGAGGAAATAAGCTCTCCTCAATTTCTAAATCTCTCCCAACTAGATTCAAGTTTGAATCTAAGATTTTTAACTCAGAATCTTAAGCTTTTAATGATGGCGCACAACCTAAAAGGTGCAAGTCCTTAGCAGTGTTATTTTTATAGGAAGTTTAAGTGTTAGTTTAGTATTTGGACTTAAGTATTAGTTTGTCCCTTATAAATATTCTTACTACAACATTACAAATTAGTTTTTGATGAATTAAAATAAATTTCCAACCCTAATTCTCTACTCCTTTTCATCCTTTGCTTCTATTTCTCTTTGGTTCTACATCAATTTGGTATCAGATCTGCCAAAATCCTACAAACCACAACTTCAATTTCCTTGAAAAAGAAAACAAAAGGAGCGAACCTATAGATTTGTGAGGTCTGGCGTTGTTTTTTTTTGGGGAATTGACGCAGAAGCTTTCAAACAGACAATGCCAACGAGTTTACAACTGGAAGAGTTGTGAGTGAAGACACATCAAGTGGGAATAAAACAGAAAAGAGAGCAAATTTCTGTCAAGTTCTGGTCAAATTTTGTGTTAGAACTTCCAACATAATTCATGCCCAGAAATTGACTGATCTGGGTTGAGTGGTCAACAGATAAATTGTATCCCTATGTTTTAACATTCTATATCCTCAAGAATTACTTTAATATGACATCTACAAAGGAAGTTATGGCCAAAATACTAACACAAGGTCGGGCTGTCAGTTAAGTCCATTAGTGGGAATCAAACTTGCAGCAGATTTTTCACTAGGAAAACAGCTGAACTGGGTTAAATATCCAACAGAGAAGATGTAGAGCTATCTCTTAGCTTTCTATACACTTAAAAAATGGACTTCATCCAATAACTACAGAAGGAGTTATGGGTAAAATACTACAGAAGGGTCATGCAGTTCGAATTTTTGACAAATAAAGGAAATCAGTTTCTGGTGGTAATTATCATGGATGAAAGCAAGGGAAAACTACAGAAAATTTCAAAATTTTGAAAGCCCTAAGGATTAGAGTTAGCCCACTTCACATCATAGAGGGAAAGATAAATAATATGGTTGATTTCTTACCAAAAGATGCTGAAAATGGTGATGGACAGCAACCCAAAAACAGATCAGCAGGTTGGAGGGTGCAGCAACCCAAATCTAAAATATTGTTCATGATTTTGAGAATTTTAAGCCTATTAATCTCTATATCTTGCTAGGAGAAGGAAGAAAAGCTAAGTTTCTTACCTATTTTCTCACGGTAAGGAGGATGTTGGCAACTTAGGGCTTTGGGGCTGTAGAGCTTTGGGGAGAAGCTGGAAGCTCGTTGAAGGCTGAGGAAGAGAAGAAAAAGATTCAGCCTTAACCCTTTTATAAAAAATTTTTCTCTTTTAACTCCCTTGAGTTTGGAAATTTTTGTTATTAAGCTCATCAATAATATTTTCTCCCAAATAAGTCGTTAACTCAAACTTTAATGTTCTAGAAAATTTTGGGTTATTACAATTTGAGTGGCTTCTCTTACCGTTTGGTCTCTCTAATGCTCTTAGTACATTCATGAGAACTATGACTCATGTACTACAACCTTTTTTAGGGAAATTCTTCGTGGTCTATTTTGACGACATTTTAGTTTGTATCAAGTCTAAGGAAGAGAACCTAGACCATTTGCGAGAATTATTTTTGGCACTAAGGGTTGCAAATCTTTATGCTAACCTTAGGAAATGCACTTTCCTCCAATCTAGTGTTCTTTTCTTAGGCTTTATAATGTCAACACAAGGTATAGCAATGGATCCTAACAAGGTGAGAACTATTAAAGAGTGGCCTAAACCTACTACAATTTTGGAAGCTTGTAGTTTTCATGGTTTAGCTACTTTTTATAGGCACTTTATTAGAGGATTTAGTACCATTACGACCCTGATCATTGATTGTCTTAGGAAAGGTGAGTTTAATTGGACCCCTACTGCTTCAAGAGCATTTGTGGAAATTAAGTAGAAATTGACTAAAATGACAGTCCTTAGGCATCCTAATTTTCATAAACCTTTTGAGGTTGCTTATGATGCTTCTGGGGTAGGCATAGGTGGAGTACTAAGTCAAGAAGGTCATCCCATTGCATTCTTTAGTGAGAAATTATGTGAAGCTAGGCAAAAATGTTCCACCTATAATAAAGAACTTTACACAATTATTCAATCTCTTTGTTATTGGCAATATTATTTGTTGCCTTTTGAATTTGTACTTTATTCTAATCACCAAGCATTGAAATGTCTACATGCTCAAAAACACTTAAATCTAGACATGCTAGGTGGGTGGTGTTCTTAAGTGAATACACATTTATTTTAAAACATACTTCTAGGGTTGAAAATAAAGTTGTTGATGGTATTAGTAGGTGAGTCTACACTGTTCATGCATTACATGCTAGTGTTGTAGGCTTTGATTGGAGGATAAAGGATGTCCTGATTTTGGTTTTGATTTATAGTGAGGTTGTGAATGGAACTTGTATGGATCATGTAGACTTTTAAGTGCATAATGAATACTTGTTTGAACCTACTAGACTTTGTATTCCATGAACTTCACTTAGAGAATTTTTAGTTTGGGAACTACATGTAGGTGGTTTTGTTGGATAAAATTGTTGCCTTAGTTGAGGATAGGTTTTATTAGCCTAGTTTAAAGAGGGATGTGGCTAGGACTCTCTCCTAGTGTTGTACATGTCAAGTGTCCAAGGCAAAAAAACAAAATACTCGTCTATACACCCGCTTCCTATTCCTCATGCACCTTGGAAAGAGATAAGCATGGATGTTGTCTTAGGGTTACCAAGAACCATTAGAGGTCATGATTCCATTTTGGTGATTATTGATAGGTTCTCTAAAATGGCACATTTTCTTCCATGTAGTGAAACTCTTATGCATCTCATGTCACTAGATTGTTGTTTTGAGAGGTTGTTAAGTTACATGGTTTGCCTGAATCAATTGTGTCAAATAAAGATGTCAAGTTTTTCAGCTACTTTTTGTAGATGTATGGAAATTGTGTGGTACTACCCTTCTTTTCTGTAGTGCCTTTCACCTTTAAATTGATGGCCAAACTAAAAATTGATGGCCAAACTAAGGTTGTTAACTGTAGTCTTGGGAATTTTTTTACGTTGTTGTGTTAGAGAGAAGCAAGGTAATTGGGACTTAATTCTACCTACTGTTGAGTTTGTATATAACAATTTTGTTCACCATACCACTATCAAAAGCCCATTTGAAATTGTGTATGGCTACAAACCTCGTACCCTATTGACCTTATTTTTCTTCCACCTAATTTTCATGTTTCTAAACCTACTGAAGATTTTGCTCAACACTTGCATGACTTACATGCTAAGATTAGACGAAAAATTACTATAAGTTGCTATGAATATTGCTAATTATAAATTAGCCATTAATGTGCACAGTAAAGCTAAAGATTTTAGTGTCAGTGATTTTGTAATGGTTTAGGTTCTTCTTGAGTGTGTCCCAAAGAATGCTTCAAAAAAGTTATTTGCTAGAGCCATTAGGCCTTACTCCATTTTGTGAAAAATTGGATCTAATGCATATTTACTTGATTTACCTTATTGTTATTCTATTAGTCCAATTTTCAATGTAAAAGATTTGTTGCCTTATAAAGGTACATTTGAATTCCCTACTTTGTCTTCTAATAACATTGCAAGTGTAGCCGCTCCTAAAGAACCACTTCTTGCACATTGCTATGAGGAGGTTATCAACATTTTGGATGATCAATTTGTTGGCTTTAAACATGGAGGTTTTTGCCATTATTTGGTGTAGTGGAAAAGATGTCTACCCTTATATAATTCTTGGTTGAATGAACAGGAACTTGATCTTGCTCTTGCTCTCCTTGAAGAATATTTGGCTTCTCCCTCTCTAGAGTTGAGTTCTTTTCAACTAAGGGAGAATGATGGCGCACAACCTAAAGGGTGCAAGCCCTTTAAGTAGTGTTATTTTCGTTGGAAGTTTAAGTATTAGTTTAATACTTGGACTTACTAGTAACTTTAATAATTTTAGAAACTTGATTATTATTTTCGTATTTAATTTGGACCAAACATTTGTCCCCTGTAAAGATTCTTGCTAAAACATTACAATTAGTTTTTGATGAATTGAAATAATTTTCCCAACCCTAATTCTCTACTTCTTTTCATCCTTTGATTCTATTTCTCTCTAGTTCTACATCACTTAACTAGTTGAGTCATCCCTTGGGGGTATTCAACTGTATATTTGATTAAATAAAAATAACTTAGATTAAAATTTAGCATTTGAAGTTCACTGAAACATATATATAATCATGTTGTCTCCTCAATCTATATGTTTTCCAATATTTTTCCCTCCGATAAACATGCATCTCCATATTCTTGTGATGCAAGTGTTTCTCTAAAAACTAATAGAACTACATATCTGAAATAATCTTGTAAATGCAACTTCTTTCTTTCTATTAATTTTCATTATTATTTTATTGTTTAAAATGTCCTTGTGTACTTTATAGACGATATGTGTAGCTTGCACTTTCCTTACTTGTTAGCATCTCTGTAGGACATAAAATTCTTTGGTTCAGACACCAAGTATAAGTTTTCCAATTTGATTAGCTTTATAGGGAAAATAATTAAATTTTTATTAACTATTCATAAATAAGTAAAGTGATAAAATGATGCTGCAAACATAGTAGACTAGGACAAATTTATCCATTACACACCTTTCTCTTTGGGTACACTACAAGCAAAATGCCTTTTACCAATGAAGTCTATATCAACGGATAAAAATTCGTCTGTATAAATCATGTATACCAATGGAAAAGTTAAGCAATCAGTATACATTGGTCTATACTAATGGAAAAATATATCCGTTAGTATCGGATAGATTTATACAAACGGTTTATTAATTATCTGTTTGTATAAAGTATATTTATATAGACGGATTACTGTGTTCTGTCTGTATAATCTCCTATGTCTTAAATGCAAATTTTCCTTTTTAATTGTAGCTGATAGCATTGCAGTAGGCATTTCACTTCCCTCCAAATATTCCCAAATTTCCCTCCCTAAATCCCTAGCTTCCCTCTCCCAAATCTCCACAATTTGTGTTTGATTTTGCTAAAACTCAAAAACCCATTCAGCCGGTAGTAGACATTTTCACTTCCCTCAACAAATTCCCAATTTTTCTTCCCTAAATCTTGAGCTTCTCTCCCCAAGTAGACCTAAGTGTTTCGCCTCTCTCCAATATTTCTAAAATCTGTAATTGATTTTGATAAAACTCAGAAACCTAAGTGCTTCGGTTTGTCCATGTTCTTCTTCTGAATTGGTCTATCCTTCTTTATCTTTAAGTTCTTTTTTCTTGTCTAAAGCTCGAAATCTCTTATTCATCCCCAAAATCTACAGAATCGAGCATAAGGTAAGTTTAGTTCTTATGATTTTTGTTTTTTGAAGTATATTATAGAGTAAATTTATGTCATTTTGTTATTTTCCTAGACAAGTTTAGAGTTTTTGGTTGGTGATTAACTCTAGATTCCTGGCTTCCTACTATTAGATTTCAATTTTGTTGAGGATTCTGTTTGAAATCTCTCAATCTTCCCAAAATTTGTCGAATCTAGCACAAAGGTAAGTTCAAAATCTCCCCTTCTTCCCCAACATTCGCAAAATCTCTATAAATTTTAGTTCTTTTGTCATTTTTCCTAGACAATTTTTCCCTTTTAATTTCAGCTGGTAGCGCTACAGTAGGCATTTCACTTCCCTCTATATATTCCCAATTTTCCCTCCCTAAATCCCTAGCTTCCCTCTCCCAAATCTCCACAATTGTATTTGATTTTGTTAAAACTCAAAAACCCATTCAGTTGGCAGTAGACATTTTTACTTCCCTCCAGAAATTCCCAATTTTTCCTCCCTAAATCCCAAGCTTTCCTCCCCAAGTAGACCTAAGTGTTTCACCCCTCTCCCAAATCTACAAAATCTATAATTGATTTTGATAAAACTAAAAAACCTAAGTGCTTCGATATTTCCATGTTCTTCTTCTAAATTATTCTATCCTTCTTTATCTTTCAGTTTTTCTTTCTTGTCTAAAGCTCGAAATCTCTTCTTCATCCCCAAAATTTGTAAAATCGGGCACAAGGTAAGTTCAATTCTTATGATTTTCATTTTTTGAAGTATATTACAAAGTAAATTTCTATTATTTTGTTATTTTCTTAGACAAGTTTAGAGTTTTTGGTTCGTGATTAACTCTAGATTCCTAGCTTCATGCTATTAGATTTCAGTTTTGTTGAGAATTCTATTCGAAATCTCTCCTTCCCAAAATTTGTAAAATCTAGCACAAAGGTAAGTTCAAAATCTCTCCTTATTGTGTAATGTGTGACTATATGTGATTTTTGTGTAATGTGTGACTATAATTTGATATATAATATTCTAGTTTCTATACTTTTATCTTTTTAGTATTTATTACTTTTTCAATTATTTGAACATGGTTGAATGATTGTTATAGATTTATGTAGGTAATTCTTCTATGTTCATAAACTTGGCTTGATGTTTTAGTATGTATTCCAACATTATAATACAAATTTTCATTATTAACAGCTTTTTTTTTTCTTTATAGGATGCCAAAGCGTAAACAAATCAATCTTGTAAAGGTCTGGCCAAACAACCAAATTGAGGATGGTTTGCCCTCTTCTCCATCCATAAACAATGAGGTTGAACCAAGCCAACAACCTGCTCCATCTAGAAATAATGAGGGTGAGTCAAACCATTAACATGCTGTCTTAGAAGAAATAGAATGTAGAGGTTAAGTTTTTACTTAAAATGTTGTTTTCCAAATTTATAGGATGAATTTATGTGAATTTATAACTTGTGAATGCATTTACTATTAGCACCATCTCCACCACCTAAAAAGCCAAGAGGTCCAACATTGATGTCCCACATATGGGAGTTGGAAGAAGGTGTCAAGGTCAACATCGTATTTGATGCAAATTGTCACCCAGTTGGTAAAGAAGGCTACACCTTGACTCGATTCCTTGGTACTATTGCAAGAAAATCAATTGCACCTATTAGCTACATGGAATAAAGGGATATGTCTCAAATTTATAAAGATAAAAAGTGGAAGATTATTGAGGTAAAAAAAAAAGGTTTATTATTTTAATAGATTAGTAACCTGGTGCAAATTTGGTATATTACTTCTTATTTTATAGATTTAAGTGATATGCTTTTGAGATGTAAGATCATATTTTTGGGAGTAAGTTCTGTTGTGGATGCCTCTAAATACAAGTTTATAATACATTTTTCAGTTTTTAAGTCTACCCTTCTCGACAAATTACTTTCATTTAGAAATTATTTTATTCTTTTTATTATGATGGTTAACTAGTTGCTTGAGATTAAGGTTTGTGGTTTTATTTTTTATTCCACTTTTGAGTTCTGAACTTTTTGTTTTAATGGGTTAATGGGTTTGAACCTAAATGTTAAAGGGTATATTATTGAAGTGTTGAGTTGGGGTTTTTTTTTTTCTTTTGGAGGGTGGTGTATTGTGTCAAGACCTTTACCTATTGTTTTTTAGCATGCATCTACATTGGATAGAGTATGGATTTTTCCAATGTTTGGATGATTGGTAAATTGGTAGACTTGGGCAATTTTTTTCTAGCATTGTGAGTTTTAGAGTATTAGGTTTTTTACCTATTATTATTTTCTCACTAACCAGCCCTAGATGGCCAAAGTCTTAGGCTAGTCTTGTTTCCAAAACCTTTGACCACCAAAAATGCCAAAAGCAACTATTAAATTACAAATTTACAAAAAAAATAAATAAAAAATGCTGGAAGTATTTCTTTTATGTGTGAGAATTATCCTCTGCTTCTCTTCCATTATATTCAATGCCTTTTTTTTTTTTTTCCGTTTGTTGTAGTTTTTCCCTTAGTTAAAGTTTCCTCCCTTCTTCTCTTTCCCCCTTGCAACAACTAATCAGATCATGCCATGGCGATGCTAATGCTTTCTAGATTTTCCCTCACTTTCTTCCATTGTTATTATTAGTCTTTTTAAATCTCATTTTATTTTTGTGATTTCTAATTTTAGTCCAAGTTCCTTATTGAGGAAAGCCGCAAAGAGCAAATCAAAAGTTGGATTATGGCCGATGTAAATGAAAAATGGAAGAGCTATAAAAATGAGCTAAAAAGTGCAAGATTTGATCTATTACTTACAATCAATGAAATGTATGAAAAAATTAATGACCCTCGAGTTGATGAGGAGCAATTTTAAGTGCTTGTTGAATATTGGTGTAGTGACAAGGGAGAGGTATGACAATTTTGTTATGTTGTAGAGATATTATATAATTTTTTGTCATCGCAAATAACTTCTACCTTTTGTTTTCTTCTAGAAAATTTGCAAAGAAAATAAAGAAAATAGGCAAAAACTTGATGAGCCCCATTGCTTAGGCACCAAGACTTTTGCACAATTTGTCAATGAGAAGGTTATTGATTTTTTCTACTCAAGCTACTTTATTGAAAAAAGCAGTGTACATGCTTTACTGATGAAGTGATAATTGAAATTAATTTAGGGCATGATATTAGATTAGTAATAAATTAAATTGTTATCCTATTTCCCTTTTTTTTTAATATAATTGCTTAAAGGTATATTACAATTTTATTATTTACTGCTTTTTAATTTCCAAGAAGCTTTGCTGATGGAAGAAAGCCATTAGGGGTTGAACTCTACATTCAAAGCCGAACAAAAAAGGATGGGGGGCTTGTAAGTGAAAAGGCAAGCCAAATGATGGTTAGTAAACGCAAACTCTATGTTTTTAATTATGTATACCTTTCTTCATCATATGAAAATAATAATAATGAGTCATTTTTGGTTAAATGTCATAGGAACAACTTAAAAACTATATCAGTGAGTCTACTTTTGTAAGTGCATTGGAGGAAACTACATCTTGGCAAGATGATATATTCATTAGGGTGAAGGGATCTGACAAGAAAATGAGGGTTTGCTGCTTAAGGAAAGTCCCGACTTAAAAAAAATCTGTCCCTTCCACATCTATAAACAATAATGTTGAGCAAAGGTTGAGTGAGTTGGAGAGTGTGTTAAGTGAATTAATGTAGCTAATGAAGGCAAGATTCCTTGATGAGAATATCATAGATATTCTACAAGTTGCCAACCAATTAGCTTCTGCCAACAGATTGGATAGAGAGGTAAACTTTTTTTATTCAACCATTTAATTTCTTTGTATTCTTGCATATATATGGTTTGGTAGAAAACAAAAAAAAAAAAAATTCATTGGGAGCTTTGCAATGACAAATGTGGGCATCACCAAAAAAAATCAAGGGGAAAAAATTTTTGAGCTTATGTTTTGTTCTTCTTTTTTACCTCTTTAGTCTTCTTTTTGTAGTTTCCCATCTCTTCTACTTTGGTTTTTGGTGAGCTTATGTTTTTGTTCTTTTCAATTTTCGTAGTAATCTATACTCATTGAATTTTATTTTTCAATAGGCACATGCAGCCTGTCAAGAGGTATCTAATACTCACTTATACCTCTTTATTCAGGTTTCATTATTTTTTAAGTTTAATATCTCAAATCTAATTTTTTAAATTTTGTTTTGGTTGAATTTTGAAATTTAGTTAGCCTTGAATTTCTTTATACTAAATTGTGGGTTCTGGATGCTAATAGTAGGCAAGGCTTTTCCCCAAATAATTGTTCCTCTTCACATTCAAGCCACCACCTTTTGTCTCGCCAAAATGAAAGTAATGAAGAAAATGATGGGAAATGGAATTGAAAGGCATGTTTGTATCTACTTCCTAGACTATTTTAAGACTTATGAACTTATCTTGATATGTGCATTTTCTTTTGCAACTTAATAACTTTTGATATGAGATATAAGCTATTTTTTCAGAACGTTGATATGGATGGTTCATGTAGTTGGTGACATGCTTATGATATGCATTTTCTTTTTGTTATTAATTCTCTTATGGATGAATTACTACAATTTCTATGGAAGAAATTATGGCAGATTAGAGTTGTTTTTATTATGTGCTGCAGAACTATAGATGAATTCTTTACTCACTGCTTAGGACTTTGAGTCTTGGAATTTTTGTATAACTAGTTTTTTTTTAACTTTTTATTATAATTTTTTTTTTTATTTCTAAAGGTCATTTCAAACTTTTAAGTGATTTTAGGATTGTACCTAGAGATGGAGAAAAACCTATAGAAACTATGATACTATGATTTAAAGTTAATAGTCTTGAAGTTGTGTCCTGATCTTTGATGCTTATTGAAATTTAATCAACTTTAGTTGCTTATATGATTGTGGAATTGGTTGCTGAACCTGAATTAATAATATGAATGGTCTATTTTAATTGTTTGGGATTTGTGGACATAAATTTGTCAAGTTCTGCCAACTATAGTTCTACTTTTGTTTTGAGCCCTTAATTCTATTTGAATGTTTTTTTTTTTTTCTAATTTTATTGTCTCAATTGTGGGAGCATAGGTGAGGATTAGCACTTTTTGTTCATGTTAGTTTAAAGGTTTGATTAGGAGATAAGTTAGAAGGAAGGAAGATCTGAATAGAAATAAGAGCTTTTTGGATGAAAGGTTGAAAGCCTTTTGGTTTAAATAGGAACTTCCTTTGGTATTAGAAGTTTCTTCCAATTAGGCCTTAAGTTTCAACTAGGACCATTTGGAATAGCAAGGTTAACTTCTCCATCTAAATATAATTGGTATATGCACAAGCAGCTATTCCTGCCTTTTATTTTTATTGTTTTGAAGAAGTTAAGATTGCAAGGAAGACAAAGGGTTGGAGAAATCATCACGGTGGTTTTGGTATTAGACTAGCTTTCTTACTCAGCCAATCTACGTTGTTTGTGCTATTAGCAATGGAACCATGGGACCTTCAAAACGAAAGAATGAAAGGTCTATTTCTAGAAAGCCTTTTATTATTTTAATTTGCCACATTTGTGACCTTGAAATTGTATTTTTCAATCAATTATTTGATGGGAAATTTATTTTATGGGGGTTTTTGTGTATTGTAAAATGGGTTAGAGTATTATTTATTCTCAATATATGAATAAAAGTATGTTTTGTTAAATCGTTTTCGTCAATATAGCCAAAAAAAAAAAACGTAGGAGAAAATCATTAATAAAATAAAAGGGAATTACAAATTATAATGATAAAAAAAAAGGATCTATACTGATGGAAACAACTGTCTATATAGGTCCTTGGCCTATTGGTGTATATAAACAGAAGTTCAAGTGTTTACCAATGGAATTATTCGTTTGTAAAGTTAAAGATCTATACCAACAGAAAATCTCTTAAGATTCCTGAGGTTTTATACCAACGGATAAGTATTCCATCAGAACATATCCCAAGGGTCTATACAGACGGATTAGGCGTTGGTTTAGACCTTATATTGACAAGGTTTATATTGATTGAAAACTCTTTCGTCGGAATAGTCCTTGGGGTCTATACTGATGGAAAAAAGGTGTATACAGACGGAAAACTTTCATTAGTATAGATCCATCTACTTGTAGTGGTATATTTAGCTAGTCAACCAAAATTTGATGTAATGGCACTAAGTCACTAGTTGATGTAGAGCATGAAGCAAAGGTGAGAATAGAACTTAGAAACAAAAGCAAGGATAAGAAGAGAATGATAGAATCAGGGTTGGGAAAATTATCTCAATTCATCAAAAAACTCATTGTAATGTTGTGGCAAGAATATTTATAGGGGACGAACTCTAAGCCCAAATCCCTAGGTCCAAATTAAATATGAAAATAATAATAGAGTTTTTAAAATTATTAAAAGTACTAAATAAGCCCAACTACTAAACTAATTCTTAAACTTCTTACGAAAATAACACTACTTAAAGGATTTGCATCCTTTAGGCTGTGTGCCATCATTTTCCCCTGGTTGAAAAGAACTCGACTTCGAAGAGGGAGCAACCAAATATTCTTCAAGGAAAGCAAGAGCAAGATCAAGAAGTTCCTGTTCATTCAACCAAGAATTATCTAAGGGTGGACATCCTTTCCATTACACCAAATAGCGTCAAAAACCTCCATGTTTAGAGCCAACAAATTGATCATCCAAAACCTTAATAAACTCCTCATGGCAATTTGCAAGAATAGGCTCTTTAAGAGCAATTGTACCTACAACATTACTAGAAGACAAAGTAAAGGGTTCAAATGTACCTCTATAAGGTGGCAAATCTTCTACATTGAAAACTAAACTAATAAAATACTGATAAGGTAAATCAAGTAAATATGCATTAGATCCAAGTTTTCGCATAATGGGGTAAGGCCTAATGGCTCTAGCAAATAA